ATTTTTAACTTTCAACTCAATTATATTTAGGTCAATTCACTATTTCCCCCTAGTATTAAAATTCACTCAGATGGATTTTCTAAACGTAAAATGTGTTTTTGCAAAATGGACGCAACTCATGTAAGTATAATGTCTTCTTAATATAATATTTTTAAGGTCTGAGTCATTTTTAATAAATATTATTTTTATTAATAGGTACAAACTAATTTAATACTGCAAAACGAACATACAAATCATAACAAACTAAAAAAAAGTGTGTTTTTAGCAGTAGAGCAATATAACAGTATTACCTAAAAACCGTGTAAAAGTCTAAAGCAAAATATGTAATACAAGCAAAAAAGAAATACTTATTATAAAACAGCCTTCTTTGTGAGAATAATAATGTGATAATAAGAAACAAGTCATTCTTACAATAGCTGTGAATGAAACACAAATACCTATAATAATATGGATAGGTACAACGTAAATATACAATCTAATGGTATCATTAGATGCATAAATTATTTAATTTCATACACATAGCGTCTTTTACAACGCATGATATATTATCATAAAATATGAAATAGAATTTAATTTCTTTAAGTAATTTGTATTGCGATTTGTATTACGAATTTCAATAATATACCTACTCCAATGGGAGATGAAAAAATCTTTGGTATAAACGAAAGTATATATTTATTTAAATACACACCGAGAGTGGATTGTGTAACGGGTAGAGGAGTTTAGGTAAATTAGATTGGTCAGGGCTAGAAAGCGACGAGTATAAATGTGTCGTTTCGTAAAAAGCTTCAGACAGAATTAATTTATTCTATACCAAGCGATGTTAACGTTCGTTGTATAGTGTACACTTAACAATGTTTGAGAACAAAACTATTATACCGTCAATTACCAACCAACTCGTGACAACAACAGAAACATCAAAAACTCATATTTTTATGTTTATGCATAATGTATTTACATATCTAGATGCTTTTAACCATTTAAGAATACCTACTGATTGTAAATGAACTGATATTATCCACACTAAAATTGTGATAAGCTATATAGGTACAAGCTCAGCGATCGGGTGGAATATGCAGCACACCAATTCAATGGTAATTTACATATTCATACATAACAGTAATAAAGTTCTGTTTTGATTAAAAGTAAGTACATTTTTAATTTTGAATGAATTCAATTTAATTAATACTAATTTTTATCTCTATTTTAAAAAATACCGAATTCTATTATGCCTATACGGTTGAATCTATATAAATTATAATTTGTTTTCAATAAATACTTATAATAATGGATTATATTTGATTATAATTATATTATATTATATAAAATTTAAATAGTTAATACACTATAATGTGCACTAATTATGAATAATAACGTGGAGGATAATAGGTCACCTGTACAGCATGAAAACCCATTGTCATTTTTACTATCACTATTTTCTTTTGTATAGACCCACTAGGTAGATATACAAATATATCAAGGAAACTATGTTAGGTTTTATCGTTAATGACGAGAGATAAAACGTAAATTATTTTGGTTAAATCTTAAAACCTCTGTTTTTAAATGGTTTTTGGACGGATGAACAAGAGATGAACCCCCCATTTGGAAACTATCGTCGTAAAGCTGTTTGGCATCCTGGCAGGTGCAGATTAAGTAAATGGTAATCACAACTCCGTGCCCTTTTGAACCCTAAGCACGTACGGTTTGTATAGTCTCGTCATGATTTTCAGTGAAGCAAAAAACTGAAAGGGTATACACGAGTGTGCCTGTGCGTGAGTGAAGAGAAAAACGCAATTCCCTCTGATCATTAGACGTCGTTTGTTTGTGATGACTGTTTACCAATACGATTAACGAAATAGTTGTGTATTTTAAGAACTAAATAAATTGTTGAGGAGAGAGAATGGGCGATGACGAGAATTATGTATATAACTATATAAGCCACATGACCCACATGCTGAAAAGTGTAGCGATCTAAGCTAGGGTATTTAACAACAAATACGTGTCCGGCTGATGGACGTACCCATCAATTATCATTTATCAGCATTACTCGATTGTCGTTAATGACTTCAATCGTAATTCGACGGTGGTACAACTGAAGCAGACTAGCAGGAGGTTTAAGCCAGTATAGGTATTCGTTAAGTGGACTTGATTTAATAATGAATGATTCCTACATTTATTTGTTAGTTACCCTTAAGTAGTTAACCAATGTAATCGATATTGAATCACGTACTTATGTCTTATACCACACAAAGCGATATATAATGTTTGTTTATAATTGAATACGAGGTATTCCTTAAAACATAATGAAAAAAAAATAACAATCGAAGAATATTTAAAAAATTAATGTATACAATATTTTTACATTAAAAAACAATACTAACTATTATGATTAAATTAGGATAAAAATAATAATACAATATATTACTAAACCAATTTATTGATGATTTACTTATTATAACAGTATTAATTTTATTATGAAATTATAATATTAAGCCATATATAGAGTCCATATCCATTATCCATGAATATATAAGTGTATACTAATCATTTAATGAAACATGTATTATAGTAACAAGCATGTCCTTCTCAAAGAATAAATAAAAATTAAAAAAAATAGATTCTATCGTTGTCAGTTTATTTTATTTGTTGTAATAGTTTTTGCCATCGAAAGAAAACATTTCATGCATATTTTTTATGTATCAAGAAAGGATGTTAACTTAATAAATTAAAAAGGTGACAAATATGGTCCACATCATGAGCAAAGTCAAGTACATGAATTTCGGGGCTTAATTAATACAAAATAAGGAGCGATGTGATGCTCAGTGAAGATGAAAATGGTAATATCCGGGATGTGCATTTTTACAATAAGAGAATATTTTATTGGACGTTTTAAGAAAATCCGGATCCTATCAAAGTATTTTAAAGAGCACTTTAATGACATGAAAATTACCCTAAGTTCAACATTTTTTTTCACTGTTAAACTGCGCTTTCTAAAATGTTTTTCATCAGCATTCATTGATGTATATGAATAAACAAAATTAGTAATGATAATAAAAATCGTATAAGAAAATATTTTAAAGGGTATTTAAGTAATTGTTTTGAGAATGAGATAGCCATGCCTGACTCGTAATATTATAGCCATAATTCATACTATCCATAATAAATATGAGTGCCATACGATGGATTTTGGATTTATAGTGGGTAGGTAAAAAGGCATTTTCCGTCGAAGGCCCATAGACATGTGAACATTTTTACTCAACACTTTAATAATAATTATCCGAATTGAATACCAACTTAAAATAACTTTCAATATTATTAGGTATAGGCACACAGTACGTCTTATAAATTTTAAGTATAAAAATTTAGTTTTAGATGATTTTAATATTATAACTTAGTTAGATTACAAGGTTAATAATTTATAAGTCTTATAAACGCCAATATTTTTCCTCCACAAAAAAAATCATCTTTTATTTCTCACTTGACCATAATAATCGATTATCGAAGTATTCATAAATATATTTATGAAGTACAAAACGTTTCAAACATACCTCATTTCATGATTTTCAACGTATTATGTTATTCGCAACTATTATTATTAATTTACATCACAGTGCCAAAATATTATCTATAGCCTATCATAGGTATGTAAATACTAATATTGTGTTTCATTTTAACCTTTTTTGAATAACGTCCAAGACCAACTTCAAAAACCTATTGTATTAAATCACTTTTATGTGAATCATTTACGTAATTAAAAATTCACAAACTTTCATATTTTTACTGTTAAATAGTTTGCGCAATTTGTTTACAATTTTGTTTAGCACATTGCATGACCTATTTTGTATTTCCTTCAACCTATATTTAGGGCAGATATTTTTTTATTTTAATGTACACAACCAAATATATTAGTAACCATTTAAATTACAATATAAACCTACCTAATTTACTGAACAAAATATATTAAATTAATATATTGCACGGTTGAGCGTTGTTAATATCATATATTTAGAAAATAATAGCTAAATAAAATATCAATCATTACCTATTCTATTAATATTTGATTTTCACTACAAATAAGTTTCATACAGCTTATTTAATATAATATAACCAGTTTATTATTCCAAGAAAACTATCAATTATAAACAAAACTATAATATAATGGAGAGCACATTTTTGTAATATTTTTAAATACGAATTGTACTTCTCATAGGTATAATATAATTACTAATAGGTATACTCAAAAAATTATTTGAAAAAATAAATATATATGTAGTCGTATGTAAATAATCATTCGAATAGGTAATATAAATTATAATAGAATTTTAATATAATTATTACAAAATACTCATAATATAATTTTAAAAATTTTATAAAATTCGACTGATATTACATTAAATTACCTATTAACCTAAACAATATCATAATATAATCTTAAGATGTAGGCTTACATCCAATTATCTATTCAATGAACTGCATGCAATACAAGTACTACTATCTATATACATATTGTTTAAACCCTATTGTTAGTTTCATCAGTTTATATTATTAATTCCTTATTGTGCTTGTAAGCTATTACGGTAACAGAAGTATGACAATGATCCAGGGTACACGCATATAGTTTATATCCCATTAGACAAGGTATATGCATATGGTTATGATATAGATATATACATAATTTGATATATGAATGATAGTGGTGTACTTATTATTTATCAACTTTAAAAATGTATTAACTTATTAATTTGAAGTTATAGGTAGATAGAACGAGCTACTTGATACTTGGCTAATTCATTACACATAAATATATGAACATCTAATTTCGTGTTGCATATTTTTATTTTACATTTTAAATGAATTATCGTATTTATGTTAATCGTTTGCTAAATTTGAAAATGTCAAGTATTGTTTTTAATATGTAAATATAAAACATTTTAGCATAGGTAACTACATAGGTAATTACATAGGTGTAGACATTATGAGTTTCAGGAGTAGGTACTCACCATGGTAACCGGGCTAATGGATCCAAAACTCCGAATGTATAACTCGCAATGAACCGTGGTAGCATTATCTGCAAAAAAAAATATACATATACGTATTATATATAATTAATAACATAGCATAAAGATTATTATTATGTTAGTTATAAATATAAATAAATATTTACTCCCTAAAGGAAATAGCTTAAGAAGGATAAACCCAAAACCATAATGTTTATGGACATTTTGTTTTTTTTTTTTTATAACCGGATCACACGATGAAATGCACTTCCGAAATATGGATAAAGATTGATTTACTCCTTTAAACATTATTTCACAATAAATCAACCAAGAAAGTAATCAAGCTCGTTTATATCAATGTTATAATGTAGCACAACCACATTCAAGTCACTTCATGTCGCATGATAATATTGTTTTTCTTTATGTCAATATTTCTAAATTATCATAAAAAAATCATCTTATAGTTCTTTCTCATGCTTTAAGTTTAGTTATGAACGAAGGTAGAAATATTAAGTATGGAGAGAACGCACATCCGAGAATAGACATGAAAAACATTTTTTAAAAAAACCACTTAAAATAATTTCATTTAAAAACTACCTATTCACCCTTTAATTGTTCCATACATTTTTTTCCATACGGTTTAATTTATAGTATAATAATTGTTTATTATTCATGTAAATGAAAACGGAAATTATTTACTATTGTCCAACTACTAAATGAATTATAACATGATTCAATATAAAACACGTATAATATTATGTAAATTGTATAAATTACCTTCATAAATAATTTTTAAACAAGAACAACTTTACGATGTCGTAATAAAATATTTTTGAATTTTTGAATTTATCAAAAACTTATGTCCACACAATCATATTCCATAAAAATATATTTTGTTAAAGGTTGTCATGTAGATTACAGCATAAATGAAAAAACTTAAATAAATACAGTAATTAACGAATCATTGGTTATTGCTTATACGTATCGACATTTTTACTAGAGCAGTAGAGCTTGAATGTGCACGTTTGCTTTTAATGAATATTATTTTGTTATGGGATCATCAGTAAATGAAATAAAATTATTTGCATGTACCACACTCAAATTAATCCTGGTCAAAGTTGTTTTAGAAAAAATGTGTTATTAAACATTTTTTTTAATATATTATATAATCAAGTTATTAAAGTTTATAAAGTTTAAACATAAATATTTAATGGATATTTAAGTCTATAATCTTATATTTGTTTTGGTTGGAGCAATACTATAAAAAAATACAAATATTAAGTTTATTATAAATTATAATTTTATTATGCTTTAGAAGGAACGTTAGACAGCAGAAATTAAACATAAAATATTTTATTAGAAAGTGTAAGATTTAGGTTCTTATTTAGATAGTTCAAATTCTTAATTTTATTTATGTCAAAAACTAAGTTAAGTGTCCCCTTATAAGTTCAGACGATGATAATAATAATAACATTAAAACTTAAAAGAACCGGACTTTGGATGTTAATTCATTTTTAGACTTATAAATAATGACAATGTTGTAAATGGTAAATTAATTTAAAAAAAAAATATACCTATTCTAAAAAAATATAATATTATTACACATTAATTTTGGAGCACTTTTACCCTTTTTGTCAACTGTAATCAATGTCGAATACTACATCACTTTAGAACTTATTCAGTTTTTATTAAAAAATAGTAATACTATTATGAGTTTTCAGAAAAAATGAACATTTACATATAATTTCTAATCAATAAAAGAGTCATATGAAAACATTTAAAACCCCCCTCCCAATTGAGATTTTCGAAAAAGACTTCATTAGGTACGAAATTTTATATTAAAATTTTTTTTTCTACATTCATATATCGATCAAAATCAAAAAAATTATAGAATAATTCTTTACAATATCGACTGGTATGATAAGTTAACCAAAAACAGCCTATACATTTTAAAAATTACACTAAGTTTAAAATTATATTTCCATTACACGAAATGGATCAAATGTTTGCCTATTACAGGAACCTAAAAACGTCTCACACGTTATGATCATAGTTCATAAAATGAATATCCATTTCATGAATAGTTCGATTATGTGGACGTGACAAGTATACCTAAGTTCATACAATGGGTAGTGACAACGCCAAAATGCCTAATAAAGAAGTTGCGAATTGTCCATACGGGAGGGATATGTCGGTAATGTACTGCTAATATTTTGGTGCGTTCAGACGTTATCCACCTCCTTACCAATATAAAATAATATATTATGCACCACATATTCACATGTATGTCGTTTATTCACAACAATCAAACGTCATAATATATTATTTTAGTCAAAATGATGATTGATACAATATTTTTCTTTGTCTCATACAGTAGGTATCCACGTGTTATGGTAATAATACGATATTTTTGAAGCTAGGTATAAAGTTATCGGAATGAGCCACAACCTTGACATAAAGATATTTAGCCTATACTGCCTCTGCATATTATTATGCTCATCCATCATATCCTAACATTATTGAGATCTGTGTTTTCAATATTAATAAACTAAAACTGTTGATATATTTCCTCAATTTTTTTTGTGTACCTAGTACCTACCTATAAATGCTGTTACAGCAATAATAACGAAAGTATTTTGTTTACAATGTTACAGAGATTATAGATGTGACTAAATTGAACAATGAATACTCATTAGGTAAGTACATAATATTTACATTTCTAAGTTGCCTGAACGGTAATAATTCAACTGAGGTAATTTAGATTCAATTTCAACAGAGAAAATCTAATTTTATTACACAGCTTACTAAAACAAAGATTATATGAACTTTTTTTAAAATGTAATACCTAAGAAATGCGTTCAACCTGAAAATAGCCAATGATTGTTCGTTTTTAAAGCAGCCTTGCAAAACACTAGCATAAAAAAATACGTATCCAATACAATTTTTTCAGTTGTACCGATAGTAGCAAGGGAAATCAAAATCTTTATTCTAAATTTAGGTCAAATAAAGTATAGGTACCTGCAAAATCAGAACTTCATGCATAGAAATGCGAGACTCCATGGCAGCCATTGAAAATAATTTATGAGATACATTCATAATGCACGTATGAGAATTTATCGAAAAAATAGAAGATATAGATAATGCTGTATTGAAATTTATTGTATCGGTAATTGAGCTAATACGGTATCATTCCACGAATTTAAGTAAAGTACAAACCCGCCTCGTCGATAAAGGCATGATATATGATATTATACATCTACCTATTGAATAGGTACACCGTGGGTTTTTGGGAGGAGAGGAATATTATGCTGGGTTGTAAATTAAAATAGTATGTTATGGATGAGCATAAAAAAAAATTATACACAGCTATAATATAAGCACGCGTGTTGGAATAATAAATAAGAGTAATCAACGAGGAGTAGACGTTTGAAAATTCGAGTTAACCGTATTATAAAATGTATAAGTCAATAACAGTATACATTGAATCTCCTAAGACCTGCAGTATAAAGTATACGGTATAAATATTGTGTTTACTGAGAGAAGAACGCAGACTACTTTCTTACCGCAATACCGCATTGCCAAATAATGTATGAAACAATATATTATGTTAAAATCCGAACGTTTGGATGTTGTTTGTTTTCGTCGAATTTAACATAATAATATCAAAAGGTCGAGATAAGTATTTTATACACATATGATATACATACTGTGTACAAGTATTAAGTACCTCAGTAATATTAAACGTGAAACGTGACAATGAGTGTTTGATAATCCTTACACGCAATATTGTGCACGTCATAAACGACAAATACGACGAACCACGTAGTAGGTACATAATGGTTAACAGCGCCTGCGAATCAAAATCATATCGTCGGCCAACGCGTTGTTTACTCGAACAAGACAGCTCGAAGTATATTGTCAACTCACGCCTCGATATTTACTCGGCAGCGTAGGTGGTACATATACTATTGTTTTCGAAAATATTTTTTGCAGTCAAACCGTTATTACGTCCTCTCAAATCAGTTGGCGCAGCGAATCGTTCGTTGAACATCAAATTCAGATATGGGTAATACCCTGGTAATATCGATACTATTAATATTTTTTATAATAGGTACATAGCCTTAAAGCAATTCAGATGTACATTGCCAGTCGAAAATTGTTTTTTAATATATATTTCTGCCGAGGCCGACCATAAAAAGGGGTAGAAATATGGTGATTGCTACGATTGTCCCGGGACTTAGCAGGCAGAACTTTTAATATTGAATTAAACGTAATAAATTGAATAATATATTTTATTTCACACTGCGCTAATAAATTTGTCATTGATCTTAATATACATTTATTATAAAAATATCGATATAGTGTACAAAATATGGTAAGTTATAGTTACCTACTAAAAATTCACCGTGTAGATGGGTAGGTACATTTTGAATTCATTAAATAAAGCACTAGATGCTCTTTGTGTATGGGGATATATAGGTTTGGTATACATTTGTAAGCTTTGTATTAATACATTACAATTATTGTTTAGACGACATTTTAGTTAAATATGTTTTAAACAAAATATAATTTATGTTCTAACGACAATGAAACTATTGAAACTTGCTTCAATATTGATGTCCCCGAATGGCGTTGACATATACTATTATAATATTATGAAAGCCATCTACGGCTTTAGTGTATTCTGGAGTCTAAACTATACAAATAAGCACGAGGGAAGAGGTGGAATATAAAAATCGTCCGATAGTTATTAATTATTACTATTTTGTCTTTAAAGCTATTAGCTACGAAGCAGCTGCAGTAAATAAAATATATTGTGTACTTACCGAGGGCAACACAATTCTAAATATGGGGCAATGATAACGTATTCGGCTGGGGACTAATAATTCAATTCGAACCTATGCGCAGACAAATATTCTAATCGTCTAATGGCCGGTATCCGTAGTGCCGCGCAATGAGAGCACATTATAATATTGTATTATTATTTTATAGTGCACATTCGTATCGTGAGAATTTCGTTAAATTTACCCAAATCACCTATATATGTATAATAATTATGGTCACACAGTAT